TCCCCCAGCCTGCTCTGTCTGCGTGTCTCCGCCTAGGGATGCTCTCGCGGTGTCTCTGCGTCTTGGTCTCTTTGTCTCTGCCTCTCTCCAGCCCATGAATGATCCTTTGAATGGGCCCACAGACCCCGTGTGTTCCCATCTCCCCCTCCCCCTCCTTCTCCCTTCCCGGCCAAGCCATTTTCCCCACTGCAGGAAGAAGGGGGGGGCCTGCGGCCTGAGCCCCCGTCCCTCAGCTCTACCCGGCTAGGGGAATCAGGCCTGGGCAGTAATGGAGAGAGCCAGGCAGAGGGGTAGGGAGAAGAGAGGGAGTAGCAAGATGTGGCAGACAGAGATGGGGAGAGCAGGGGAGAGAAAATGGGGGAGACAGAGATAGGGAAAGAGAGACAGAAATAGAAGGGGCTTGAGGGAGAAATTTGGGGAAGGGATTTGAAGGCGAGAGAAAGATGAGAAACACCAAAGAGGGAGGTGTTGAAGAAAAAGATGAAAAAAGACTGAGGGTCGAGAGACTGAAGGCAAGAGCTGGAGCAAGCTGGAAGAGGCCGTGGAAAGATGCTCTGAGGGAGCGCTATGGAGAGGAAAGAGATGGGGGGAGGGTTCCAGTGGGAGGGAAGAAGGGAGAGAAGCTGGCAGGGAGGAGGCCAGGGGCCCAAAGTACCTTAAGGAAAGAGGGGGTGACAGAGGCAGACCTTGTTAGTGGGGGGGGGGAGGGGGCGGCAAGGCCATGGAAGCAGAGCCCAGCCTGACATAGGCAGAGGAGATTCTGAGGGAGCCAGCCCCAAGCCCCCTCCAGGTGATGGGAGAACAGGAGCTTAAGAGGACCTGAAGAAAGGGAGGGCATGACTGGGTGTGTGTGGTAAGGATTCCTATGTCCTCATCTCTGGAATAAATTGACACCTGCAGAGAGCCACCCGCGGGCTGGCGCCTGGCTCTGAAAACCCCGCGTCAGCAAACAGCTCTGGCGGCTTTGGGGGGGGGGCGAGTGGGACAGGAGGGGCTTGCTAAGATGACCTGGGTGTCTGCCCCTTCAGTCCGATCTCTTCCCTTGTACTGCCTCTGCTGACCTGAGCACCCAGGCATCAAGGTAGCAACTGTGGGGGGCTGGCAAGGGGAACGGGAGGTGAATAGCTAGAATGGGATGAGAAGAAGCCAAGGTTTGTCCCCAGGACATGGGTCAAAATGCCATGCAAGGAAGAAGAGGTGTCTTGGGTTCAAGGCTGTTCAAGACTGTGGGAGGGGAGCCGGTGGTGGGTGCATCTGATGCCCCCCAAACCGACCTCAGCACCCCTTCTCCTCAGCTAGAGGCCTGGTCACTAGTGCTAGGCTCTGATTGGCCAACAAGGGGCAAGAGGCGGATCTTTTAGGGTTCTCTACGCCCCCGGTCTCCTTCTCCCCTCAACATATATACTTCTTCCCCTATACTAAGGCTGGAGGAAACTCTAGCATTCTGATTCACTCCTCTGCTCTCCCCCTCATGCCCTGAATGGACCCCATAACCAACCCAGCCCCTTCCCCTCTTCCTCCAGACCCCCCTCCAGGGTTAAAGCTGCAGCCCGTTGCCGAGGTAACATTGCGGGACAGCATCCTGTCGCCCAGCAACCGGCTGCAGGATCACGCATCTGTCCCTGGATTTGCCCCTCCAGCATCCCCTCCCTATCTGGCCCCTGCCTCAGGGCACATTAACTTTTGAGGGAAGAAATGGAGAGGGCCTGGTGTACAGGGGTCTCCCCTACTGCACAAATCCTTAGAGAATGAGACATTAAAGAGAGGGGGAGGTGCTGAGCTTGTGCGGTCCCAAGAAAGGACCAAGTCTGGCCTGAGATGGGGGTTCAGTGCCATGAAATTACAGCTCAGGAGTAATTAACACGTATAAACAAACCCTCCACTTCCTGCTAATTAATGACTTGGTATTTTTATTTTCTCTTCCTTGTCTATCTCATCCCTCCCAGGGAGGTGGGAACTGGGACTCCTGAGTCCCTGAGGAGAGCCTGCCTGGGAGGGACAGACAGCTGAAAGGGGGCGTACTGGGTTTGGGGAGCTGACTCTCCTTCCTCTCTGGCTGTGTCCTAGACATTTAAGACATCTTGACCTCATCCCAGCCTCAGACTTTTCTATCTGGGTCCCTGCTGAGGAGGGGAGCGGTGGTTGGGGTGGGGGGAGGTGCTAAGGGGACTGAGGATGGACGAAGTGGGCAGCTTGGTCTGAATTCCAAGTCACTAACCACTTGTCTCTTCTGTTTCCCCATTCCTGTCTGTCTTCTCCATCCGATTTCCCTTCCCCTCTTGCACCTCTCCTCTGTATTTTTCTGTCTGTCTGTCCCTCCTCCCCACAGATCGGGCCTGCCTTCACCTTCTCCCTCTTCCTTCCCCTTCCCCACCCCTCGCCCCCTCCATGGAGAGGAACAGACCCCTTCTCGGTCCAATCTAGCCCAG